CTTTCAGTTTGATCACCTCATAGGCACTGTCAACCACCTGCTTGTGAACCTCTTTCCACTGTTCCCTATCTGAATCAGTACCTAATTCAGGATGCAGATTTTTCAGAGAGACACCAGCCACATTCACTCCACTCCATACAGGCACACTAGAGTCTCCATGCTCTCCAAGGACCCAGCCATGACAGCTCAATGCGTGAACTCCCAGCCTCTCCCCCATTAGGTAACGGAACCTCGCTGAATCCAGATTGCATCCACTGCCAATAACACGGTTTTTGGGAAAGCCACTGATCTTCCAATCCACATAGGTAAGGATATCCACTGGATTAGAAACAACAAGCAGCTTGCAGTTTGGGCTGTACTTTCCAACATTAGGAATGATGAATTTAAAGATGTTCACATTAGGCTGGACCAAACTGAGACAGCTTTCCCCCTCCTGCTGACGTGCTCCCGCTGTGATAATAACCAGCTTGGAATTTGCAGTTACGTTGTAGTCTTTGCCAGACACAATTTTTGGTGTTCTAAGGAAAAGGCTGCCATGTTGGAGATCCATCATCTCTCCCTTTAATTTGCCTTCCATGACATCAACAAGTGCAAGTTCATCTGCCAAGTCCTTAATTAAAATACTGATGGCACAGGCCATGCCAACAGCACCAACCCCAACAACAGTAATCTTATTCTGGGGGGTCTGTTCCTCCATAAGAAGATTCTGAATCAGCTGATCCTTGAGAGTAGCCATACTGGATTTGGATGAGGAAGGTACCGGGAATGCACGTCGGGCGGGCTTCGGTGGCGCAAGGCGGCGAAATCCTGACTCTGCAGCTGCAGCTCCGGGACCGGGACTTTTCAATTTACTGCTAGTCATCATATCATTTTGTTTCTTGAAGTTACCAAGACATAGAAAAGGAAGAGGGGGAAAAGGTGAGCGATGGTCCTTTTGGGAATTATCCTCCTCATGAACCGTTAGAGATGCAGCTCTTGTCATTTATCTTGTGGATGATATTGTGGATCGTCACATCAGAACCGACCCATAGCTAAACCCCCAGTGGGTTTTCAAAGGCAGTGAACTGCATGGGAGAAGACTGCCCACCCTTCTCCTGTGGCGTAGCTGGTAGATTTGAACCTCATTTGGATTGGCAGTGCTACTCCTTACCACTTAAGCCGCCACAACTGCTTTATCTGACAAACAGAATATTCAGCAGCATATACTGAGTGTCTCTTAATTTCTGGATGTACAGGGCATGCCTTTCTCTTTACAACCAAACTTGGGTTGGAAGTGTTCAAAAGTGGCTTTGCTCGTTTCTCAATGAGCACTTAGGAAAAGGAATTCATTTTTAAAAATCACAAGGCTTTCAAAATTTAATTGTCACAAAGCTTACAAAATTTCATTGTGTTGTTAGATGCCCTTGAGTCAACTACAACTAACAGTGACCCTATGAACAACAGGTCTGAACTTTGCACTATCCTACCCCATATCATGATCTTGACTATCTTCAAGCCCAGCATTGCAGTCACTGTGTCAGTACTGCATTTAACTCAGATCTGGTAATGACATTCATCTTTCTTATTAAGGTATTGTTTCCTTTGGCCACTTAAGTCTTTGAACAATGGCCCTCGTTATTGAATTTGTATTTTTTTATTTATAAACTAAACATACTGCCACAAAATCAATTCTAATTCATGTTGGTCCCATATGCTATGGGGTAGAACAGTTCCACAGGACTTTTGTGCCTGTAACGTTTATGAAAGCAAATCGGCAAGTCTTTCTGATCAGCAGTGACACTGGGTGCGTTGAACTGTCAACTAACTATAGGTTAGTGGTGGAGGCAAACCATTTATGCAACCTGGCTTTAAGCCTTAAATGCAAGAAAATGTGGCAGATGGTAAGACCTATTTATAACTAGTTGTTGTTTACTGTTGACCATTGTCAGTGGGTCTGTTCTGACTCAAGTAACCCTATGTACCATGGAGCAAAACACTGCCTGGTCCTGGACCATTGTCACAAGTGTTGCTGGTTGAGCCCATTGTTATAAGCACAGTATTGCTCCATTTCCTTGAAGCAGCAAATACATACTATATGAGGCAACTGATGTTAATAGCTGATGAACATACTTTACTTTGAAACCCATTATACTACAATCCATCAAATACAAGTGTATTCCTACAATTTTGTTTCATTTTCTCAATATATGAACTCCAGTGGCCTAGTCCATAGGGTCTCTGTTAAGCCAAAGATCATACTTCCCAGATGATCTGAACCCATCATGGCCCCAAGCAAGAAACATGGGAAATCTCTTTGTGTATGATTTGTAACCTCAGAAGCTCACTGGAGGGTCAGCTATGAGTAGATTCCAAGTTGAAAGAATGATACTTTATAAGTTTTTCAATATGGAGGTTTGGTGGCCTCATGGTAAGAAGCAGTGCTGCAATTCCAAAGGTACATGGTTTGAACCTACAAGTTTCTCCGTGGAAGAGGAATAGGAAGTATCTTCCATTGTGATTTATTGTCTCTTAGAACCCACTGGAGGGTCACTGGCTATGAAGCCAGTCTGTTCTAACTTGATGGCACACAATAACAACAACAGCAGCATAACTATAAAGATCTGTATTAATATGACTAATTATGGCTATATTCTGAATCTAGGAAAATATTTTCTTTGAACTCCATAATAGTATTACAAACAATCATATATATATATACACACACATACATATATATGGATGTTGTTGTTGCTGTGTTGTTAAGTGCAGTCAAGTCGCATAGTGACCCTATGAACGAAGTCCTGGACACTTGCTGTATAACTTTCGTCTTTTCTCCAGGTTCACAGAGTTTCCAGAGGCAAGCTATTGTGGAAGTGGATGACACTCCTGCTTCCAATATATATGGATAGGCATATAATTTTAGTTTGTCTCAATGCATATGTCTACTTAGATCTATAAAGACCTATACTAATATAATTAAGGATTGTTATATTACTTTACCACAATTAATGTGGATTCAACTCATTTTTCACAATGCCTAATTATATGTTAAAAATAAATTTCACTGTGTTCCCAATTGATATGTTAAAAAACACAATGTAAGAGCAATTCTCTTCTAAAAAGAAAGAAGCTAGTTATCATTTAATTCACTGAGATGTCTTTTTATGGTAACCAAAGCTCAAGCAAAGTCATTGCAGGTTCTTACTGCCAGCAAAGGAGCAGGCTTCCAAATACAGATTCACATTCACATTTAAATTTTCCCTTAATCCAGAGGTTTCCTGTGGATGGTGCTACAGTCCATCAAAGACTGGTAGGCAGCAAATACAAGCAAGCCCTTCATGTATTTCAGAGGGATGTAGTGTTGAAAAGAGGCAAAACACTCCATGGGACTACTTCAGTGGCAATGGAACTAAAGAGACTGCAGCAAAAGAAAAGAAAAAGATTCTTCATGAAGGAATCGTATCTCCCTCAAAGTGTGCCCTCTCCTTGGCCACTCTTCACAGTCGCACTCAAATAAACTTGGCACCCAGTTAAATAATTTCCTCAGACAGGCCCATAAAGGAAAGGCCCAGAACAGCCTCCTGTGGAGTCCTGAGAGAGGTCTCTTCAGGATAACAGCTGGGTGGGATTGGCAGGAAGGAAGGCTTGCTTTGCAGATGAATAAAAGGCTACAGTATCCAGGGTTGTAGATTCGGTGCTTTGCTTACAAAAATGCTACCTCAGAAAAAAAAAATACCTCAGGAAATTAATCATTAGTTGAGTAGTGGCTTTAAGTGAGCCTTAAATAATAACATCCTAACTCATAATGGTATAAAATAAGTGCAACAAACACCCTTCTCTTTAAACATTTTCATAAAGAAACAGGTCAATAAATAAGCCTTTTAAAAAAATATAGCATTATACTTATTAATAGGCTATGGCTTAAGATATTAATACAGAGGAACACTTTAGAGGTGAATTTTCCTCATATTGGTTTTAAAAAAAATGCATCCAAATGTGGTTCAAATCCACCAGCTGCCCTGTGGGAGAAGGATGGGCAATCTCGACTGGTGCGATTTCCAGCCTTTGAAAACCCGCTGGCTGGTGAGCTATGGATCGGTTCAGACATGATGGTACACAACAACCCATGACCTACTCCTACTCACTGCAGGCAGGACCCCACTCTCCACCCCTTCTTTCTCTCTCTCTCTCACAGCTCCCCAGCTGAGGTTTTACATGAAAGGACTGGATGAGTTAAAAAATGCCTACCAGAAAAGCATGATGAGTGCCAGTGTCCAACTGAATACAGACTTATTTCCACAGGATGATTTTAAAAAGGCACTTTTCCTGAGAGCCAGATTTATCATAAATGCCTCTTTTTATTAGCAAAAATTCCCAGAATCACCTTAGTCTTCCCCAAAAAACGAACAAGCTACCAATTAGAGGAGAATACTGTAGATTATAGAAAACTTTGCCAAGCAACGTAGAGAACTTTCAGAGAAACGTAAAAATGTGGGTATGATCACACTCTAGTTTGAGCTACCTCAGAAGGGAATTTGATATTTAAAATTTAATATGAAAGTGAAATGAATTTTTCTATGTAACCATAATGCAGCTATTACTGCACATATTCATATAGTTTGCATAATTAGTCAAGATATTTTGACTTTAGCATGCCACATTAAATATTTTTGTCATCAATTTTTTTGTATAACTATTACTGTCATTTCACTCTCCTAATACCTCACCATTAGGTGGAAGGAAATTATTAGGATTTACCAAAAGGAATTACACATTAAAATAAATGTATAAAGAACTTGGCTACTGTATCACAATTAAGGAGATGATGATTGAAACTGGTTTATTACAAAAGCAAAATAAAATAAAATAAAATCCTCAGAATCCTTTCCCCTCCAAACAGAACAATGGTATCTCCCAGTTTCAATAACAAAATCCATTTTTCAGATGAATATTGTAAGCAAAAGCACTATCGCGTTACATACAGAACTAACAGAGCAGAAGAATAAATTTCAGTCATTAACCTTTTCTCCTCATATCAAAACACTGCATCACAACCTTCTTTGCTTTCCAAGATGCCAATTCTCCCCACAGGAACTCATCATGCACAACTTCTGGGAATCTAAAAATGAACAAGAAGATTTAGATGATGATGGAACTCATAAAGACATTAAAATAGAATGCTTGTTAATAACCCACAAAAACTGCCTTTCCTTAGCAGAGGATATTGGAACTGGAGCCCTCAGGAAGAATTCTTTCTTCTTTACAAAAAAGAAAAGATTTCCTTTTTTCAAAAATAGAGTTTTAATCTTCTGAGTAAATGCTTGTATTATGGACCAATGAAGTATCCCATCAGAGTCTCTGATACAGTTCTGCCCTAAGTTGAGCACCTACAAAACTTGTTCTGGTCCGTCAGTAACTATGTACCACAGGATGAACTCTGATATAACCTATAAAAAAGTCCTTTTCTCTAGTTAATTTACTTTGATAATGCTATATTCAGAGCTAGAAGTAGTTTCTTAAATTAAAAACTATATTTAGCTAAAGCAAAATACTGAAACTTCATAAACTCTAAAAGGTAATGAAGAAACTTTCTCATACTTCAAATTAAAGTCTGATGTCAACAAATGCATGAAAGCGCAGCCAAGCTACTCAAACCAAATAGATTAAGCAACCCACTATCTTAAGATAGTTTATTTTCCAGTATCAAGAGGCTTATATCTCTGTGTTCAAAGATAGTTGCAGTATATTTGTCATTTTTTTTAAAGAGTTCACTCTTCTAGATAAGTTAACGCCAAAACCTTCATAGGACTAAGCACAGCAGACACAGCAGTTAAAATATGCCTTTCTCACAAATATGGCATGGGGCCACTGTTGTAAAACGAGACTGACATCAAGGTTGAAGGAAGACAGAAAAGGAGGGGAGGAATGATGTATTTTGCATTGAAACAGATGAGGGAGGGAACTGTTTAAAAGGGAATACATGAATGGGTAGTCTTGTCATTACAGAAGTCCAGAGTGACAGCTGCACAGTGGCGCAGACTTGGGGGTGAGGGAGTGGATAACAATGAAAGAGTTTTTTCTTTTTCTTTTCAAGAAGAGTGAATTGTGGGGGAGGGGGTGGGCAGGGAGAAAAGTGCAATAATGAATGACTGGAAACCCTAAGTCTCTGTGAACTTTCATTAAAATTAATTTTAAAAAATGCCTTTCTCCAGAACCATTTCACATGAGCACAGAAAATGCTTTTTCAAAAGAAGCAGATTGCTTGAATTCTCCCCGTCTTTTTTGCACATCACAGTGGTAGCATTTCAGGACACCCTGCGCACTTTGCGACGTGAATCATTTTGAGTAAGCGGGCCCACTCGGTTCCTCAAAAGACACAAAAGGTGCAAAAATAGCTTCTGCGATAGAAGCAAGAATCAAGTCAGCAGCCAGGGAATGTGGACGGTCAGATAAAACTCTCCTGCTGCAAAGGATAAAGTATCAAGCAGATGTTAGATTTCTTTTCTAAAATAATGTTCTCCATGCCTCAAGTCAACCATGGGGTTTGCCATTCAAAACAACACTTGACAACCTCTGTTTTAAAAACAGAAAGCTTTCGTCAAGCATGACTGAAGGAGAGTGATGGTGTCCCATCAAATCACTGACTACTACTCCACTTATTAGAAAACCTAAATCTCCAAACACATACACACACTCTCAAGAGTTTTTTAAAAAACTGTAAAAACTGTAACTTAATACTAACTTAAGCTAAAGTAAGGTGTGGTACCTCCCAGTAGAGGATAAGGATACTGAGGGGGGAAAAATGCTCCTGGGCTAACTGGGCCAAGATTCTAAAAGTGCATTTGTGTAAGAGGAATTAGAATTTATATGACTGACACGGCCTGTGGTTGGCACTCCCACACTGTGGGAGCCATCACCTGGATTGTGACTCACAGCGACCCTATCAACAGTGGACCGAAATCTCGCCTTATCCTGGGCCATCCCCACCACCCCTGACATACTTGACCCTGTTGTTATAGTCATCACGCCAATCCATCTTGTAGTGGGATCTCTTATAATGACCCTTCACCTTTCCAAGCATGATTTCCTTCTCCAAGGACTGGCCCTTTCTCACAACATGTCCAAGTATGTGAGACGGAGTTTTATCATCCTTGCCTTTAAGGAGTGCCCTGGTGGCAGCCCCATATTCAGTGATTAAAAGAAATGGAGCATTTAATCCTTTACTGGTCAGTCCTCACACCTGCTTCCTTCGGTTCATTGGTCTCTATTGGTGGCAAACATGGTGGAAGCCATGTTCTCAGCTCTGTCTCTGCTTTCCCAGTTTTCCTTTAAGGAGCTGTAATCCAAAGGCACATGGTTTGAATCCACCAGCTCCTCTCTAGGAGAAAGATGAGAAATTTCCTCCCCTGTGATTTATCACCTCTGAAAGCCCACTGAAGGGTCAGCTATGTTCTTGGTTCTGACTCATTGGCAAACAAGAACATCTCATGACATGGGCACAAACACAGGATTTCACAATACTGGAGAGCTCTCTTTTCATCCAGTGAAAGGTTCCAATTCACGACACCTCTTTAAAGTTTAAAGAAAGAAAAAACAATGGTGATGATGTTGGACTTAGACGCTGCTTCCCAGAAACTTTAAAGATCCAGATGATAGTAACAGAAAAATATGCCACAGACGTCAATTTTGCACAAATCAGTTTGTTGCAAACTGGAATACGTAATAACCTCTACAAGGGAAGTAATCACTGTTACTATGAAAATAAAGGGAGAGAGATAGCAATCTCAGATCAGAAAATGACTGTTGCACTAATTTTAAGTAGCTTTTGCTTATCAGTGGTTCCATCAAACTAAAGGAATACTATTCCTGCAAACAGCTCCTGAGAAGGTAACATGACAACTTAAGCATATGTTTCCTTAAAATAAAAAAAAAGCAGATTTTTATTTCTTTAAATCTACTTTGAGGGTCTTTTGTACGTTGTTTTGTGAAAATTAGAACTGACTCATAGCTGACCCTGCAGTGAGTGTTCAGAGACAGTAAATTGCATGAGGAGAGACTACTCATCTTTCTCCCATGAAGCAGCCAGTGGACTTGAACCACATGCCTTTGCTGACGCAGAACAGCTCCTAACCACTACGCCACCAGAGCCCCCCTTTAAGTTATGAGAGTCATTTAAAACAGTTACTGTGCAATAAAACTTTAACCTTCAATAAAACAAGTGTTCAGAAAGTGGTGCTAACAAATCTCATTAAATATCCCCAGGTCATTTCAAATGCATTCCTAATTATGGGGTGAAAATCATCTCTCACTTTATTAGTAAGGTATAGAATGATTATCCTTCCTTCCTCAGGTCCATGGGAGAGGGAACTGAACATGTATTTTCCAATCCGCTATCTTTTATTTGTGAAAAATACTTGAAAAACTTGGAAAGTTTGAGTATTATGACTTTTATCCCAATGGCTTTCCAGTCTTTCTACTTTAAAAAACCTCATTGAATCCTCAAATTAGAAAATAGATATTTCTCCTTGGATGCATGCAAGTTGTTTATTATTATGAGGATGAGGATGATGCTAAGGAAAGGTTGTGCTGGGCAAATCAGACACAGTTTTCAAACACCCACTTCAAGTGGAAGGATTTTATTATTTCTATTTTCAATTGCCAAATTATTTTAAAACAAGTCCTTTCTTTTTAGATGATTCTTAGAGGATTCTTTCAAGAGGTCAAAGTTCCATTTGCTGTCTTCTCAGGCAAATAAATGTACCTCTCACTGTCTTATCTTTTCTGAGGTTACACAAATGCAAAGGAGAATAATAATTTTAGAACAAGAGTTTACATTCTAAACCAGTGAAAATTTAGCATGGAGTGGCCAGAGTCCAAACTAGCAATTATTTGCATTAAACCTATGATCAACTGACAGACAAGACCTAAAACCAAAATGTTGTACCTACATTTTTCAGTTAAAAAGGTTACTGAAGCACAGCAATAACTTTATAAATTATTACCTAACTTGGGAGGGACCGGAGAGCATTATCCTGAGTGAACTAACTCAATCCCACAAGAGATATATTGTATAAGATCATTACTGTAGAAGGAGTATAAGGATCCAGGAGGGGCGGGAGAGGCTGGAAGCAGAGGGATGTGGATGTACAGG